CCTGCTTGGCTTCTACTCACTCCCCTCAATGCCACAAGAAAGAGGAGCCCACATAGAAAATCGGTGGATTTGAGAAAGACAAAGTTATGTTTCTGCAGAGCTGAGCTTGTGGGATTCCATTACATCCCAGCCACGGCCAGGCGGGAAAGGTGAAACGTGTTCCGCTCACAGAAAGGGGTGGTCAGGTGTGGCCGGAAGGCGGTGCAGTGGTCTGGGGACAGGGAAGCAGGGGTGAGCCTGCGCCCTCTGGCACGCCCTTCCGCTGGAGGGTAGCAGAGTTCAGACACATTTGGAATTACATAGAATTCCTCTTTATGGGGGCCTGGAATATACAACCGCACTCAAAATCTCCATCCACAATATACAAAGTAGCATCTTAACAAGAGAAGACAGCTCGGGCAGTACTTTCGATTGTGGTAAATCTGGCCGTAAATCCTAAATCTGCGCGCCCTCGGGGAATGTCAGGCTTCCCATCACCTGCTTCGGAGGGTTTCTGTGAGAATGAAATCAGCTGCCAGCGCACTGTAGTTCCTCAGCACAGAGCAGGGCCCCCACGCTCATGGTATGTAGCTCCAAGAAGACTACTTGCAAGTGAGGCTATCTTTTCCTTTAGTGTGAATATCTACTGTATGCCATGCTAACAGCGCTGGGTACCAGACCTAGGGCATTTTGGTGTTCAAGAAGTGCCTGAAAGTAAATGCGTGTTGGCAAGGAAATAAGCCAGTCTGGGCCCATGCCTCTCGGCCCCAGGCAGTGCCGTGGGTGCAGGGCTTCGGGGCGGCTCCAACTCCGAGAGCTAACCAGCTTGTTGTCGCATTCTTGAAAACAAGAAAAATAGAAATCATATGGAATTATGGCATTCTATTTCAGGACATAGGTTGGCTAAGCTTACCAAGTTCATTGCTATGTTTGACCTGTTCAATAGCAATAGCCCTGGCCGGGGTGGTTCAGTTGGTTGGAGCATCCTCCCATGCACCAAAGGTGGCAGGTTCCATCCCTCATCAGGGCGCATGCGGGAGGCAGCCAGTCTCTCTCTCTCTCCCCCTTCCTCTCTCTCAAATCAATTTTTAAAGATTACAATTGCATTTGGTTTAATAGAAAAATACTTATCTCTGCTCTCCCCTCTCCCACAATGGGCCTGTGCTTTCTCCCTTTCCTAGCCTTTGAACAAGGGCCTCTGGTCCGACCATAAATATTACGCAGGGATACTGTTTTACAGGAAGAAACGTATCTTTTAACATGACACCCCAGACTTCTCTGTGTTTAAAAAGAAAAGGGTCAGGTTTAATGTTTAGTTTTTCAATGTGGACAAGTAATCACCGGGGACGGAACCAAGATCAGAAAGTTCACTTTAACAGGGACCTGCACTTGGCCTCCAACTTAAAACACGGTCTCAGAGGTACAAGGGTGGCGTGCTAAATGTTTTGCCTTTTGAATATTTGATTTCAGCACAGAAGCTGCAATCTAGCCGTATCCTAATGGCTTTCTGTCATCGCTGCCAGGAGGGGAGGAGTGGTGACCCGCCTAACAGTCACAGTAGCTTTTACTCGATTCCAGCGGGCCCCTAGGAAATAGCTTGAATGATGCCAAGAGAGCGTTCACAGGAAGGCAAACCCACTGCACTCCCAAACCCGCCACCTTCCTATTTCGTATTTTAGGTTTATGTGCCCCCTGGAAGCCAGAATTGGTATCTTTGGGGGCTTTTCCAG